GTGTAGAAACCTTGCAGAGCCACTCTTGGCAATTGCAGGTACATTTCCAAGTAAATGCAAGTATCTTTAAGGACTCCCTAGACTGTGAAGTTGGGAGCTACTGGGGTAATAATTTACCAGGTAGGACATGGCCTTCTAGTCTCTCGCAGTCATTTCAGAATGGAGAACACAGCCAGGACTTGGATGTAGCAGACAGGCACAGCCAAGGGCAGCTCTGCTGCAGGATGAACCCCCAGGAGGGCTCAGTCCCCAGAGCCACGTGTGCTGGGAAGCACAGAGTCGTCTCACCCCTCCCCAAGCGATAGCTCTGTTCTCTTCTGAGCTAGACCAAACTATTTCAGTCAGTGCATCACAAGGACTCTTCAGAAAGTGCCTCAGAGAAATTCGAGCTACAAACTTTATGGCTTTGCTAAGAGCAAGATTTGGAAACAGAGCACGGGGTAGAACTCAGAGACTTTTTTATAAATAAGCCCTTGTCTGCCAGACAAGTGATTAGGAGATACTGCTTGACTGTCCACAACCCTCTCATGACCTAGATCTTTGAGTCCAACATAATTTTGTTTTCTAAGATCAAGCAATTAAGATGTCCTACACAGCACGCACCTCTGGTCCTATACTGGGAAAACTATGGCCTCCTCTCACAACGTGGATGCAGACTGTTCCATGTCCATCACCACACACTGTAGACAGTACCGTTATTCTTATCTGCAAGTTTGCTGTAGCTACAGAAGGGCATCCTTATGGGACACTGTCCACTCATTGCTTTTCTCTGGAGAGGGGAAGCTTGTATTTATTTAGGCAAATCCTTAGTACTCATCACTAGGAGAATAGCATTCGACCTTGCTTTATTGTTCTAGCTGCTGTTATTTCACTGTTGTTATGCATAGGTTTGGTAAAAGCCATCAGAATCCCTCATTCTATTGTGTCATTCTGATACTAGAGCATCTTCATATATCTCAATATAAATTGTTCCCAGTAAATGGAAAAAAAAGAGCTACTGCAATAAGATACAGACTGAATAAGAATGTCAGAGCTATCCCCCTCACCTTCTCCCTGTATAACACACAAAACCAGTCCATTCAGAGTGTGCCAACATACAAAGGAAATAAACTTGGAATTTATCCAATTTTCTTCCTGTTATGAGAAGGCTGAAGGCATGACATTGATCAGACAAAAACTTAACCACCTTACGGCTATCTGACACGTTTCCAACAAATCAACTCTCAAGCAGTATAAATTTAGGGGGATTTATAGACAAAGGCAGAGATTACATGATCAGTATACAGAAATGTGTTGGTAGAATCACTAGTAGGTAGAGAACCTTGTTAAACGGGAATGCAAGCTAGTATATGGGCTGCGTGCAAACTGGTTTGCAAGAGTAGCTCCTGTACAGCACAGGAGCCAGGCTGCTGTCCGAATGCTTCAGAGGCCCACGCATACAGATGTGGCATATTCCCACTCATACACGTCTCAATTTTTACAGAAATACACCATAATTGTGGGAGAGGAGCTATTATTTCATTAATGACTTAACCCCCTCATAGAGCCTCGTCTGTTAGCTAAACTGGAATAATAAAATAATGAATATTTTGATGTGTTTTCCTAGATTCATACACTTATTTCTTTAGACTAAACAGTTAATTCAGTACTTGTGTTTAATTTAAGCCTTGGTTTCCCACATGGAGCCTCCTTGGATTTTTCCATTACGATTCTGAGTATTTTTCTATTACTTTGAGCGTCTAAGCAGCAGCACTAATTACTTTAATTAAATGTAATCAGATATTAATACTCCATAATATCCCCGTCCACTAGTTAACTTAGGCGTGCAACCTGAGGTCAGTCATCTTTCATTACCTTCGGTTGAAGCTATGCACAGTCACGCTGATCCCTGGGGTGAGTTTACCATTGCTGCACTTTCGTTTTTGTCTAACCATACGTAGTAGAGCTGGCAACAAGCATGTACTGGAGAGATTCTTAAGCATGAGCTTCCTAGGCATTTAGGAAGAAATCAAAGGTAGCAACACAGACTTACATGTCTGGGTGACAAGTCTAACCTTTGCAGTGCAACATCACAATGTTGGAGCTCCAGCTTCTTGACTTGCCGGTGGTGGGCTGGTGTGACAGGCGTTGCACAGAATGCAAGGTTTCCCTGTCAAAAACAGAATTAACATTATAAGACATCCTCTCATAGCAGCTATTTTCCAGTGCAGCTTTTCCAGGACAATCCCAGTTACATCATAAATTCTTCAAGCAATACGAACTTGGAGATAACGGACTGCCCTGTTTGGCTTGCCGTTTTATTGCCCTTACCATGTCTACTTTGTTTCTTTCCATTTAAAAAGCTTGCTAAAGAACTGTTTATACCAATACCAAGAGTATTTCTGCCCGGAAGACTTTTTTTTTTTAGTAATAGTAGAAGCTTTTCAAGCAACAGATTTCCCTTATAATGTTTTCTCACTTGAACCTACAGCTCTACAGTTTAATCATTAATTATTTTTTTTTTTAAATAACACCACAGGGATTTATCAAGGAAAACCAGACTATTTCAATTAACCTAAACTTTTATTTTAGACCTCTGCATAAAGAGGGATTTTCTCTCTGACAAACTGAAGTGAGATCCTATAATATTTCTCTTAAGAAAAAGCACAAATAATTAAGCGTACTCTGCTTTTTTTTTAATTGCACTGCATTTATTTTATTCCATTTCAAAGCACTGGCACTATCATTTAGCATACTCTGGGAACTTCAGTAGTCTTGTAAGTCTCCAGTGGAGGTTGGAATTGGCTGGTAGGGTAAACACAGAAGACAAATAAATTTGTAAGACCATACTGCCTGTTCATTTTTCTGATCACACAAAGCTTCGCTTATTTAAAGACCTTTCATCTGACCTTCTAGGGGGTGGTTGCACACAGAGCTTATTATTCAAATAAAAGATTTGATGTGGGCATCTGCAATTCTAGCCATTTTGGGTGCTATTCCCTGATCTTTGCTTTCCCAGAGCCATAGAGCATTACACTATCATCCCTCCTTATAGATTTCATGCAGTACATGAGTAAGGGTAGTTACCCATTTTGAGCTTTTCACGTGAGCTGATTTGATTGTTCTGGTCAGGTGTTAAAAAAAAAAAAAAAAAAAGATATTTCACCACTGAATTTAAGGTATTAGTGGTGCATGCTCACTTCAAAACTGTTCAGCTAGGGAATACAAGGAAAGTTTAAGGTTTGCCAGCCTTAACAATTATGGCTGTACCACTCAGATCCCTTCAGGGCTGTTTGATCTCACCTGCATGAGTAGCCCTGTAGATGCACAGACAGGCCAGCACAAAGAAGAAAAAGCTTCACTTGAAAATTGAGTTTTCAGATATTTTGTAACAAAAGTAAGATCTGTGGACAGTAGCTTATGAACTACTGGAATAGGCAGATACTCAACAACTGCAGAACGTTTTCCATCACTTCTGTGTAGACGCTTACGGTAAAGTTGTGCTGTGCAAGCAAGAGCCTAAAAAGAACCCTAAAGTTCATCTACTTTTGTAGAAAAATTACACAAAGCTATATATTAACCCAAGCAAAGCTTACACCTAAGTACACTCAAACTTTGAGGGCAAAAACAAATTAGTTACTCTATAAAACATGATAGGAAAACACTCACCAAGATCATCCATTTATTCTCAGGCTACACTACTCAGAAAGTATTTTCCATCTCTCTCCCCACCAAGGAATAGCTTCTCAAAGGGTTAAGTCTACTACAAATACAAGATTCAAATCCAGCCAAAACTCTGTGTGACTCCCACTAGAGTATCCCGAAAACTGCAAGCAGAAGCAAGCACCAACACTGGAAAATCCTGCATACAACTAGCTACAGCACCCAAAAAGCTTTTTGTAAGCAGCTGAAGGGTTGTTTCTGGCTCCACCCTCTGGGCAAATCACCTGTGCTCCTGCCCCAAGGACTCACCACATGCTCCTCCCCTCGTCTGGGTTTGTAGACTTTGTCAGTCACAGTTTGTAAATTAGAAGAATGCTTTGAGGCCCAAAGGTTGTGAAAGCTTTTAACAGCATGTAAAAGTTAAAAATAAAGCCAAAAAAAAAAAGGCATCAACACGTGCGCCTGTGAATTTTCCACCTGCTACACAAAACTACAGAATAATTCTGAGAAAGTCAAAGTTGCCTCATATACTTTAGACAGGGACACAAATCTAAATGTGTGCTTTGAGTATCTTGGTAGTGCTCTTTAGTCATTGAGTCAGAAATTTTTTCAGCACCCAAAGAGAAGAACGGGTTGATCTTGTCTATAAATTAGACGCAATATGACCTTCAGCCTGCAGTTTCCTGAGCAGAGGCAGTATGTAGTTACATCACATTTTTTTCCAGTTAGGAGTACAGAAAGTAACTCAACTTGTCAAAAATCAGGGGTTCCTCCATGTTCCAAGCCACTGCATGTACAAGGAGAGAACTATCCTTCTTCACCACCAGAGTATGGCTTTTCCCACAAGATTTTTTTTAGATCAAAACTTTGACTAAAGAAAGGTTTGGATGAATGGAACAAAAATTAGTAGAACCTGTCTAGAGAGTACGCCTCTTCTCTGGGATCACAATGTGTGAGTTTCTCTTACAATAATTCTGTAGTTTTTAATGAATACACCTAAATAGGAAGACTTTTAAAAAGTTGAGTAGAATGGAATGGTTCAGTTTAAGGACACATCGAATACATGCAAAATCAGCGTAAGGACTAGTGAGTCACATTCCTACGGCTCAGTAAATATTCTATAATACTAACAGCACAGGAGCTATTTATAATTGAACCTGTGATTACATCTAGGTACCTTCAAAAGAGGGAAAAAAGACCCCCAGCCTTCTTTCCTGATACTTTTCCTGCCTGTTTTCAGTTTCAGCGTGTGTGTGCAGACAATATGACAACTTTAATTATCTGGCTATCTGCTTGCATTTATTTCGCTAGTCCTTCCAGACTTTTCTTAAACTTTCACTTTTTTTTATATTTTGCAGTTCCCTCCTTTTGGGGTTTGGTGAACTCAGCTTGGAATCTTTGCTCTGTTGGGAAAAGACAGTCACCTGTCAATATTGAAACCAGCCATATGATTTTTGACCCCTTCTTAACTCCACTTCGCATAAACACAGGGGGAAGAAAGGTATGTGTTCTATCATGTTCTGGTATAAAAGCAATAAGTTAGTAAACTTACAAACATTTGCTGTATTTTGTATTTCTAAAGCATTTACACTTTTGTCTCAGTCAGCTCTGAGGCAGAATAACAACGTAGTGCTTTGCAAATCACACAGCTCAATCACTGCTGGAGAGATAGCAGCCATACATTTCTAGTGTATGTTTATATTTTCACATTAACTGTTGCTTGAAGCTCTGCTCTCTGGAAGAACAGCATCTTGCTTATAAACTCCACGTTCATAATTAAATTTATCAATTTTATAAGTTCATCCTGAGTGAGATTTTAAAGGTGCTGTTCTAAAAGTGTTGTTTAAGGTGGCTGGGACCTTCTTTTATTCATCTAAATCAGGGTAACATTGCAGTGCCGTTGCATTAAGGGGTAGGAAGGGATAAATGAGCTTCTTTATCTTATGAAATAAAAAGAACTGTGAGGTACATATCTCAGCATGGGACAGACAGACAGATGTGTTCAAAAAGTGGTCTAGTTTCTGTGTTAGCTAGAGCATATTGGCACTCGTAAGATTTTTTTGTATTGGATATTTCACTTATATTAGTTAGAAAACAGAATGGCAGCATTTATTTTAATAGATCATAAGTAAATCTCCAAGGATATTGTATCAGATAGAAATGACAGATTAGCAAAGACTACCTTACTCGTCTAAAATCAGCGTGATAATTTCTTGTTGAAAAGTGACTCCCACAGCTGACTAGTTTATTAACCACTTTTTGTAATCAATAATATTTTGTAAATGATGTATATAGAAACCTTATCTTGTTCACCCAGATTTGGAAAGTATATCTTAATAAACTGAGGTATGAAAACCGAGTCATTCTGGGTTAGATAATGTGTCTGCCTGCGTCTCAGGAGCCTCGACTCCTAGGCTAGTCCATGGAGATTAAAGATGGAGGCAGGGAACAATCTTGACAAAACGATGCTCTGCAGGTGGGTAGAGACTGTTGTCTGAGGTATGTGTACCTATAGAAATACTGCTGATAGATGCTAATCAGTGATCATGTCCTCCCTTTTTTATTCTATCTCTGAGTTATGTCAGGAAATAAAATTGGACAAAGTTTTTATTGTAGTAAAAACCTTAAGTTCAGTAAATGTCTTTGCAAACCAGATGTTGAAGCATTGTGCTACTCATGCATGTAAGACAATTCACGTTGTGACTATGAATTTCAAAAACTCTCAAGCATATGCGTTTGTGCTTGTTGACCCAGTGCTCAGAAGCAGAAGTGAAACTGTTACATATCAGTGTATACAGTGAAAAAAATGCAGAAAGTTAAGAAATCTAAACAAGGAAAGCACATTTGGCTCCCAAGCATGTTTCACTCTTAATAACCACATGCTCATATCAATAGCACAGTTAGGGACGTTTTACATACATGGTTTGTAAAGTATTTTCTGCATTGCCAAGGTTTGGTGCTAACTCATTCTTTCCATTTATGTTTACTAAAATAATTATACACACTAAAAATTAGGAGCACAGACAAATTCCACAGTGTAGCACCAATTCTGAGATCTACTTGGTTCCTAAATGACAATTCAGAGAGGTTGTCATTTGAAAGCATTTCAGAAAACAAACTGATCCTGAAGGACTTTTCTTTCGCTAAAGAATGTGTTCACAGGATGGAAGTTTAAGGCCAATACTCAAATAACTAAGTTATCAATTCTGTTTATCCAACTGAAGGGTTGATACTTTTCAATTCTAAAATTATTTTATAGATAAAACATCTTGGACCTGTTAGCACTTTTAGAAATAGTCATTAGTTCATAATGGTTTTGTGTTGCTTCCCTTATGTGGAGGTGCTTAAAAGGGTATTTTAAAGATTTTGTTGCTTATTCTGTGCAGACAGTCCTCTTTCATTCAAACAACAGAACAGTGCAGATGAAAAGGTGTTGTGACTTACAATATCAGAATAAGCAGAGACTCTAACATAAGGTTGTTCCAAAATCATTTCTCTTCTCCTGTTGTCTTGACAAATGGGATTTCTGCTGGAAACAGCACGAGATGTTAGGAGTTTGCTCTGTACTTCCCATTGAGGTTCTGGTGGTACGTGTGCACATACATCAGAATCGACGTAAGCTTCATCACAGAAATGATAAAATGGTGGTATTGTTACTTACTGAAGGACAGTAATGCTTACACTGTGGCCCAAATTTCCAGGTAACATGTGCATTTTACTTTTTAAACAGAAATGCATTGAGGGTTTTCATTTTGGTACAAAAAGGAGTTTTATTGACTCTGCTATTTATGTAAAGGCTGACATATTTCAGATTTATTTATAAATTGCAGCATGGCATGATACGGAAGTCAAGAACAAAATTAAATGGAAACTGTCAGTAGGTCGAAGCCAGGATTTTCAGAATATTTGGTGTCTTTAGCAATTCTAAGAATTGAACTGTTTTTTTGTACCAGGTCAGGGTGAAGCAAATGTCTGATTATTAATAAAATATTGGAGGCACTGATAACCTGGGAGATGCTGTATCAGTGATGAGGTGTTCTTACCACACTCACAAATATTATCCTGCTGCTGTCAAACAGTGATGGCCTTCTATCATGTTGTAAGAACAGCATTTGTTCGAGTTGTGGTTGGTCTGTTTTAGAGAAGTTTCTAAAGTGGTGGAAACAAAATTATCCTTTGAGGAAAAGATTGCGAATTTAATGCCTTAAAAAAAATTTCTTTGCTCATAGTTAAGGCTTCAGTGAGAATTTGATTTGGCAGGTATTATATTTGTTTTCCCTTTTTTGGTAATGTTTTTTATATGTTATAACCAGTGTGTTTCATATGGGCTGAAGCACTTCAGTTTTCAGGGCAATGAACCAATTGATGTAGCAGCCAGGGGATTTCTTAGACGAGACTTAACTGCAATTATGCTGTACACGAAAGGATTTTATGGAACTGATCCTAAGAAAAATGATGAATAAATAAAAAAGGGATTTGATATGGTTTCAAATCAAAGTTATAATAAGCTAGCTTACATGCATAGTGAACAAGAGACAGCTACTTGCACACAGAGTCAAAATCATCCCCCTCTTTTGAAAACGGAGCTGCAAGGAGAGTCAAGGCTTAAGAGAGATAGATAGAAGGAAACATTCAGTACCACTCAACTTGGAACAGTAACTTTAAATTTTTAACAAATTTTTTTGCTCTTAATGTAGAAATCAGTTGAAAACTCAAATATTTATTTGATTTTGAAAACAACATTTCTACTTTGTGTGATTCACTTTTGAAATTAACTTAAAAAGGAACAGAAGTGGTTCACCCACAGGAACAGAATCCAAGACCAGTCTAGAGAAATTCAGGTAACACATACTTGGGTGATATGATAACACTTCCTCTTTAGTCTTTCATTCCTTACCACTTATTTCTCTTGGGCCTTTATATTTTTGGGGTGGAGAGCATTGCTTAATTTTTGTGAACCACTTACCTATTTAGTTCTCAATTTCTACCTCAGCAGACCAAAACTGTTCCAAACCGTTCCATTGCAGAATTTATGACTAAAGATTCCGTCTTAAGTGTATACCTTTCTAGCCAATTCTGGAGTTCATTTTATTTCAGTATTAGTTACGGCAGGCATTTTAGTAAACCCGATTGAGACTTCCCTACAATTGTATAGATCGCTTGGGAATAAAATAATAATTGTCTTGTTCCTAAAGAAAAGGAATGGTCTGAAAGGAGAGTATGAAGGACAACATCACTGTCTTCCTACCCTGCAGCCTACAAGGGGAGCAAAATACACTTTGTTGCTGGTTACACGGCAGGTGACTTAACAGTTACTTCTGATCTGAGGCTGAGAAGAAAATTCTTCCCATTCCAGTATCAGGTCATGCCATTTACAGCTCAGGCATCATCAGATGTTATTCTGAATTGCGCTGTGTTATTTTGTATGTTTGTGCTTCTCTGTTTCCTGAGAAAGTGGCTTTTCAGGTCCTGAAGGCTGAATATCATTGATATAGATAATTGGATTGCAAGATCCAGAATCTCAGCACAAGACATTTAATGAGTTTACATGAAGATAAATTCCCCAGAAGAAATACTGCTTTTGAGGAAACTCCCCAAGTTTCAGTTCTCTCTCGGGCCCAGCTTTGTCTCTTGATTATCCCTTTCGGTGAATTTAACATGCAGCCCTTTCCAGATAAACAGCCCTTTTTAATAAACAATAAAAACCTTATTAATATGTAAATCGCACTCCTCCACTCAGTCACAAAGAAAAACACCATTTTACTTTCTCTGCTTTTTTTCCTTGGATTCACATAAGCACCAAGGCAATCAGCAACAGGACAAGAGAATAACTTTACTGACAAGCCAGTGGAGTCTAGTGACATTTAGGCAGCAAGCACTGTGGGTTTCAGTCTCCAGATCAGGGATTTTGGGGTTGTCATGGATGACAGTAGTGGATGAACGAACCACATCACTTCCCACTGAGCTAGTCCTCCGCTGGGATTTCTTCCTCCATTGCTAGTGTCTTTCTCCTCCAAGAGCTCTGCCTTTGGTCCCCCAAAATTTGTCCCCTGCTTACCTGTAGCCCATCTGCCTTTGATCTCCTGTGATTCTCTGTGGACTTCATTCAAGAGCCCAGTTTCCAAGATTCTTTAAGACTGAGCTACAGTTCTTGGCCATACTTATTTTTTTTTCTCCTAAAAACAAGTTAAGTGACAGCATTTGCTTTAGATACTAAGTGCATCCCTGACAATTAATTAAACAATGTCATGTAAGTGATGCTTCAAAACAAGTTAAGTGACAGCATTTGCTTTAGACACTAAGTGCATCCCTGACAACTAATTAAACATTGTCATGTAAGTGATGCTTTGTCTTACTAATCATTTTAGGTCATGCTCAAGGACTTAAATTATGGCTTAAAGCAGGAAAGTTCTGTTTAAAATCACTTTATTTTTAAGACAAGACCATTGTACCTGATGTTGATCTCTGAGGAAACAAACAAAATGATGTCTGCAGGCCAAG